AATGAAAAATAAATGATAAATTATCTTCTGAGACTTGCTTCTAACATAGACACCTTTACTATAATGGAGCCTTAATATTACCTTGTTAAATAATTGACAAAATTGATTTACAGTATAGAATAGTCTCTTCAATGCCCTCTGGTGGACAAACAGGGTATTGAAGACACATTACCTTAAATATATGTATGTTAAACACTTCAGTACTGACATTTCTGGTTCCTTATCAGCTGATCCAACCATCCTTATGAAATAAATATTCGATACTTAAAAACGACACAATTACTCTCATTATGAGCTAACGATATTAAAATGTGCTCACTTTGCAGCTGGCAGTAAACTGACATGAGATCATGAAATGCTGATAATGTGTTTGTCATGCTTTGAAACATCAATAGTTTTTGTTTTTACTCTATTTGTGATTTGAGTCCAAATCGGCAAATAACTCTGATTATGGTTTTGTCATGGATTTGACTATAAATGAGCTAAAAGTTGAAAAAATGTTAAAGATACAGCTTGGAGTAACCATATATTGTGTGTGTGTCTATAGTCTGCAGAAGCTGCCTAGTGAAGTATCTGGAGGAAAACAACACGTGCCCCACGTGTAGGATTGTTATTCATCAGAGCCATCCACTGCAGTACATCGGGTGAGTGAACACACACACACACACACACACACACACACACACACACACACACACACACACATACACACACACACACACACACACACACACACACACACAGCTACAGTCAGTTGTTGTCTGGAAATGCCCTTCCATTCTCCTTCTCTACCCACAGTGCTCTCCTACCCTCTAGAGGTTTCTTTCCACACACACACACACACACACACACACACACACACACACACACACACACACACACACACACACACACACACACACACACACACACACACACACACACACACACACACACACACACACACACACACACACACACACTCTGGTGTTTGTCAGAGCTCCATCAGTGTGTCTCTGGGGATCCTCTGCTGGTAAACAGAGGAGCAGAGAGTCGGCCTCTCACTTTTTATATCCACTCTCGGTGGGGGGTCTCTGCTCGTGGGGGGCCGTGTGTGTTTTTAAAAGCATAGATTATCAACATAATAAGGGCCAGTTAATAAATAATGCAACACACGATTGCATTCATAACCTAAACCCATTACCAATTCTGTTTCTTAGATAAACTAGAAATAAAAACAGGAAAGGGTGCAATAAATAATAAATACATGAAAATAACTATTAACATATTTGTTGTTCCATCAGTGGCTGAGGGTGCAGGCTTTATTCATTAACTTGATTATTACTGACCAGGAAAACAAGAGATATCATCTTTACTTCTCATTTCTCACTCCTCATGGGGCATTTATGTTTCTAGTCCACAGAAATCAGACTTATATAATCAGTATTCATGTTTACTTGTTGCTTTTGTCCCATTGGAGGACTTGAAACCACTTGAGGCAGTTTAGCAGATTTCACTCGGCTCCCTCACCGAAGGATTTATGCAATATACATTTCACAAATGCAGGAACACTCCCCTGTAAACACACTTTGATGTGTACCAGCAGGGGAGTTTCCTTTTCATGTGGAAGTAGAGTCAACTAATAATATGTGGCATTACTAAAGGACAAGGTCAAGTCAACTGAGCTCAGTAACGTTTTTTTTAAAACTGAGGTAGATCTCAATAAGCACAACTAGGATGAACTAGAAGTTAAGAATACAAAAATAAAATCAATGAAATACAATAAATCCAATAAATTAAATAAAATCAATAAATTAAATAAAATTAAATAAATTAAATAAAATCAATACATTTAAAAAATGTAAATAAGAAAAATAAATAAATTTAAATGTGTATTTAAAAAAAAGAAAATGGAATAAATATAAGTAATTGTCTCTTATTTCCACGTACAGATTCAGTTCTCCAGTTAATCAAATCAAAGACTTTGAATATTAAATGCTTTGATGTTAAATTATCTTCAGGTTTAAATAAACAAGTAAATTCATATTTGTTAGTTTTTTATGAATGACCTTTGACAGATTTAATCCTCCTCTCTTCAGGATGTTGTTATTCCTGCCTCCTCTCAGCGCTCATGCATTAGTTTCTATTAAATACCCCACACAAACTTAAAGTGAACCAACACTTTTAGACATTACCGTGCTCACCTCGCTGTCTGCAGACTCATTGTTTGCAGGAAAGGCCTAATTTCAGCTCTTGGAACAGCTGTTGGGTTGTTTGCCTCGGTGTTTTCAGGAAATCGGAGTTGATGGGAAACATCAGAAGTGATTTGAAGGTGAAACTCCCGACAGATGACCGATAAAACCCACCTGCTCATCAGAGGACTGATCAGAGTTCATGTTTGAGATTCAACTCTCAGAGAACAGCTCAGATAATCCAGACGCTTGTTCCGTCAAGTGCAGCTTTCCTTCATTTCGATCCTTCTTATTTCTCGTGCATATGATAATAAAACCACCACGAAAAAAACAATTAGCTAACTAACTATTAACTATTGACTCTAAATCCTGCAAAGAGCAGCCTGGCATTCTTTCGTTCTGGGAAGAAAACAAGTTAATACAGCTGGTGACTATTTCTTTATAAAGTATAAAAGTTAAAGTAAATTATCAGTAATTTTGAAAAATAAATACACAATACAAATAGTTTTTTATACCATCAAAGGTTCTTCACACCATTTTATTAACCCTCCTGTTGTGTTCGTTTCCCCCCCCCTTACTTTGGTGTTCACGGTCAAATTTGACCGGTCCTGTTTTAACTGCTATTACATTAACACACAAACATTAATCATCACCACATTTCATTTAACACCCTTTCAAACTGTACATATTGTATCAGACTACTGGTATACATGAAACACTGCAGTACATATACAAAGAACAGACACTGAACATGTATTGCGTGTGCCAGGTGTGATCCATGTGGGGGGATGGGCACATAAGAGCGGGACGTGTGTGTGTGTGTGTGTGTGGGTGTGTGTGTGTGTGTGTGTGTGTGTGTGTGTGTGTGTGTGTGTGTGTGTGGGTGTGTGTGTGTGTGTGTGTGTGTGTGTGTGTGTGTGTGTGTGTGTGTGTGTGTGTGTGTGTGTGTGTGTGTGTGTTGTGTGTTGTGTGTGTGTGTGTGTGTGTGTGTGTGTGTGTGTGTGTGTGTGTGTGTGTGTGTGTCAGGTGTGATTTACATGGGGGGATTGGGCACATGAGAGGGGGGAACACATCTAGAGTATGGGTGTTTGTGTGCCGGGAACACCATGGGTTACAAAGTTGACTAAATCATCCAAAACTCAATGAAAGTGGTGATCAGCCATTTGATATGTTCAAATGTCTACTGTGAAGGATATCATAAAGCCTTAATGCAATCAAATGTAAAACAAAAAAGTTATGATTGATGAAAGTAGTACCCGAACACAACAGGAGGCTTAAACTCTCTCGGGCTTCAACTAACTAATTATGAATATCTCAAATATTGAATAAACCAACATCATTTTTTGTATTAATCAGTTCCTCAAAGTCCAAGCTGATGTCTTGTTTTGTTGGTCATACGAAAACAAAAAAAGTTCATGTCTTAAAATCTAAAATGGGAACTGTTTTTATAGACTCGTGCTTAAGCAGCCATTTTGACCCCCCTCGCTTTTTAGGTACTTTATAAAAAGACTTTTACCTTTACACGCATTTTGTTAATCCTTCATTTAACCTGGAGACAATCTAATTGAGATCAAAATCAAATGTGTAATGTTATTGTTAGAAACACTACGCAGGCAACATACAAGCCAATTAAACACAGTTACACAAAGAACCAAAAAGAAAGATTACATAGTATGGAGGCGTGTGGCGCAGTGGATAGAGACTTGGTGTTTGGATAAGGTTCAAACCCCACTGCAGTCAGCATGTCGTTGTGTCCTTGGGCAAGACACTTCAACCCAAATTGCTCCAATACTGTGGACATACTCAATACTGTCCACAGTATTGAGTATGTAAGTCGCTTTGGATAAAAGCGTCTAACAAGTAACATGTAATGTAATGTATTATCTATATATACCTATATCCAATCCAATCCAATCCACTTTATTTCTATAGCACATTTTAAAAACAGAGGGTTTGCCAAAGTGCTTCATAACGAACATAACATTATAACAAAATAGATAAAAGGCACACATAAGAATAAATACAAGGCACATAAAAAAAGCGAGGGAAAAGAGGTGGGTCTTTAGGCGGGACTTAAAAGTTTGAAGAGTGGGCGACAATCTGACATGGGGGGGGCAGGTCTATATGATACATGAACACCTACAGGCAGTTGGCATATACAAGGAAAAACCAATGGGAAGCAATGTGTTAGACAGGGTTCTTACGGTCATTAAAAACCTGGAAAAGTAATGGAAATTCAAAATGCTAATTCCAGGCCCTGGAAAAGTTATGGAAAACAATATTTTTCCCAAAGTTTTGGAAAAGTCATGGAAATGAAACTAAAGTTGCATCAAATATAATTTATATTTCATCTAATCGCCGAAATAGTAATACTATAATGATAATAAATACTGTATCGTATAGTAATGAAACGTAAAATGGCATTTAACTGACGAGGTGTTTTGCTGGTGAGAGATTTGAGTTGCTTTAGTCTGTAGAAGCTAGTAAGCCTATTTGATTTGTTTTAGATAGGCACAACATGTTTCATAAGCAGACCTTATTTTCCTGTTCCATGTGGTACCGCTGAGAAAGAGTAATTTTTTTGGTCATGGAAAATTTGGTAAAGGTCATGGAGAAGTCATGGAAAATCATTGGTGAAAAAGTGTATGAACCCTGGTTAGACCTCCATCACCACTATAGTAAAATCCCCTTGGTTAATATTGTTTTAAAAGAATGGTGTTAGTCCGTCCAACAGCCCTTTCAAATGAATAATACGTTTAACAGAGGTTTCTTTAATCTGAGTAACATTTGCACTCTCATTAAGTGTTAAACCTCCAAACGTATGCAGCAGGGGTCAGTGTGTCGCTGTGTGTCGCTGTGTGTCGCTGTGTGTCGCTGTGTGTCGCTGTGTGTCGCTGTGTGTCGCTGTGTGTCGCTGTGTGTCGCTGTGTGTCGCTGTGTGTCGCTGTGTTCTGGAGACCTTACAGTGACTCAAGCATGCCACTTGTATTTCAAGAGTTTTTCCTCCATAAAATCAGAACACACTCCACATGTCGTGTCCATTATCTGGTTGTCAAAACGCAGCAGCATGGTGACGGCAGCCCTGAGTCCACTCTGTGTGTCACCTGCACAGCTTTACAGGAAGAATATTTAACACCATGGCCCCTGAGAGCAGCTGTCAGTGACTTTTATTTGATTAAACCACTGGACATTTCTCAATAATTGCCTCTATGGTTATTGTTGAGTAGAGCTGTGCAGCAGACAGTGTCATCGAGTCTACAGTAAGGAGGGGTGTGGCGCAGTGGGTTGTGCGTCGGTGTTGGGATCAGGGGAGCACAGGTTCAAACCCCACTGCAGTCAGCATGTCGTTGTGTCCCTGAGACACTTCACCCCAAATTGCTCCTGTGGGGATTGTCCACATTATTGAGTATGTAAGTCGCTTTGGATAAAAGCGTCTAACAAGTGACATGTCATGTACAGTATACTCAAAAGAGGGTTATGCATAATGTTTTTATTTTTTTAACATTTTTGTTTGTGTGTATGTCTATTTGTATTGGTGTCAAACCTCCTGAACACATTTTTATATTTTTCTTACACTCATTTTATATTTGTATATGTGCAAAAGACTTTTGGTAAACTATTTTAAATCATATGTTTATGTGTTTGACATGATAAGGTTACTTACCAACTTCTTGTTCTTTTCAGCCATGACAGAACAATGCAAGACATTGTCTACAAATTGGTACCGGGACTTCAAGAGGGTGAGTTGTGTTTATTGTCCCTTTTAACGATGCAACACAAACAATACAACTAAAAGCCTTCAAACTCCACTTCTACTGTAACTACTGATTTCTTTTATCATTGGTTTGGCCTCACTTTGACAGAATTACATTTGTATGCAATATTTACACTGTCATTGCTGCACTTAGAAGACTTATTGGAGGTGTTTTCATTGCACACACACATAACTACACACACCATTGAGTTTTTAAAGACCCAGTGACCTTGACAGATAGTCTCTGTCCTCTCTAATTGTTCCTCTCTTCCTCCTTTGTCTCCTGCAGCGGAGATAAAGAAGCAGCGGGACTTTTATCAGAAGTTGGGGATGGAGGTGCCGGGAGACATTAAAGGAGATCATTGCCACATGAAGACGCATCTAGATCAACGCAACGGTACGATCCAACACTTCCTCCTTCAGCTCAAAGATGTTCTCTGTCTGTTTGAATATGTAAATAGTTTAAATGAATCCTGAATCCAATATCTGCTGACAGAGGTGCAATATGACCTTAAGGTAGTTCATAACCAACATGGGGACCACAGCGTGAACAAGGTGTTTTATTATGGGATATGAGTTCTGTGTTGAAGTCCTCCAAATAACAATGGAAGTACATTTGACTGATGTGGTCAAACAAACAATAAAGTGGTCCTACGAGCGTCCACTGAAGGGTGAAGATGCACACTTTAGAACTTGACTGAGATAAACATAATAACCTTTTATAAAGCACAGTCATGTGTACTCGCCATATATGTGTTTGTTTTTCTACATTTCTCATTATATTTGAGTGTGGGCACATTAAAGTGGGGTTTATTCTTTAATGGAAAGGGTTACCGGGAGACATTTACATCGAGGTTTTTCATTTATTTAAAGGTCTTCATGGATATAGACGTGTGTTGATGGTTGGAAATGTCTTGAAGGAGCACTTTTACTTTGAATAGCTCAATGCTCTGAAGTGTGCTAACTAACCCAATCTCATTGTTGGTTTGAGTCATACACAGACCACTAACCCGATGTCTTCAAAATGTACTACAAACAACATATTGGCTTTTCGTTCGGAGTCAATTTGAGCCATTAGCAGGAAGGAAACACCACTTCCTGTAAGAGCGACCAACAGAGTCACTAATGGCGCGTTTCCACTACAACGCGGAGCACGGTGTAAGAGGGCTGTGACGTCAGCGGCCCGTCTTTGGTTGCGTTTCCACTTGGCCTAGTACCGGCCGGCGGGTCCTAATTCACAATTTTTCTGGCCTCATAAAATCGCGGGTCTAGGGCCAGAGACAACGAGGCTGAGTCGGGCTGAGTATGCTAAACTAGAGAGAGCGTCGCTGGCAAGGGGGCTACAACTACAACAAGATGGACATATTTGACCGTGATTTAATTGTAATACACGTTTCAAAATGATGCCGAAGTAACAACATACTGATACCGGTTAGTAAAAACCATGAATTAATGCTTTGTCAAGTCTGCAGACAGACGGCAGGGGAAAAACCTTTTAAAATGTTTGTTTTCTAAATGGAGATTGGCTAAGCTAACGCAGTATATGCTCCGACCGTCCACACTCACAACAACGGCCTATACAGACATAAATAAAGCAGCGACTGTATTCACCATGACACAGGCAGTCTGTGGTTTGTACTTGTTTAACTTTTGTCTAGTTTCTGAACATATATGAGGAGCTGTGAAATCTGAGTGCTAACAGCTAACGGCTGTGTTGTTTTTCTGGGGTCCTCTGAAGATCACGTCACGGCTCCGCCTACACTGCGTTACTATAGATACTACCCCAGTTCCTAAACTGTAATGGAAATGCACCATAAAGTGAGCCAGTCCTAACGAGGCCCAGCCATACCGAGCGGGGCCGAGCGAGGCCGTGTAGTGGAAACGCGCCATAAGAGTACATTTTATATTCCCAAGTTTAAGAAAAAATACAAGGTCTTCAAGCATAACATAAGACTTTAGGTCATTGTGAAACAGGATGTCACAGTCTGCAAAACACGTGTTCATTTGCGAAAAACTGCATATTTCTTACATCTTTTTACCAAACAGTGTAAATATTCAAGCACAACATCGCTCAGATTTCTGGAAGCCGTGTATATCATTTCTTCAGCGGGATCTTCCAGTTCCTCTCACTGTATCATATAAACACTGAAGCCCCCACATCATAATGATAACATTAGAAGCACAGCCACGAGTAACAGCAGACCCCATTAGGCAGTAGAGATGGAGACACTTCAGCCAATCACAACAAGTCCCCAGCTTCCTTGTTGTGCTCGACAGCTTTTCGGTTGCGACTCACTTCCAGCTACTGTGTGTGAATGTTCGCCCAGAGGCCGGCACTAATCGCTCACTTAATCCCCCTCTCTGATTTTGGTAATTAAGGCTCAAATGGAAGTGGAAGTGCTCTCCGGCTTCCTGTGCCTCGGCGCTTTGAGTCAGGTTTAGATACAGACACACAAACATTATCAAACACAAACACGTTTAAAGGATCATTTGGACAAACAGAAATATAAGCGGGTATTGTATCGTTTACATTCAGTGTGATAAAATACAAACAAATAGGAGGTCTCTAGTCTTAGGTATTGATAGATACATTTGAATTTGAACACTAGATAATCTAGAAAATCAAGCGTAGTTGCATATCATTCTAAAGCTCATCAATCAGGAGGTTTCCAAGTGAGTCTTTTGTGCATTTAAAGCGTTCTAACACCAGACTTTTTGACATTTTTCCCGCTGTGGAGATAAGAGTGCTGTGAATTCTCAAAGCTGTTGTCAAACTTGAATGCAGTTGAGAAAAAAACAATAATGTCAGTCCTCTGCACCTCCTAACTCGTCACACACTTAAAGGTGGGGTAGGTAATTCACTTCAGAAACACTTTTTGTTATATTCCATGGAATGCTCTTAACATCCCGATAGCAATGAATATATTAAATGCTTTGACAATAAATACATACAAACATTTAATCTGTGGAAGCCGTGGCGCTGTAAAAAGCACGACCAATCATCTGAGCCGGCCCGGCTAAAACTTGTCTACTAACTAATTTGTAAAGAATTTATATACATATAAAAAATGTAAAATAATAGACAAACAAATATAACAAACTTTACAAAACCTTGAAGTACTTGATTCACATAAAATAATATAAAATGTGTTTTGTTTGACGCACACTGTTAAACATCCACATAAATGAGATTGTTAGATTGTTAATAATATCCTGCTTTATATTGTGTTAGCTGTAAATCGACCCTTCAATAGTGTTTTATTGGTCAGATTTGTATAGATATATCTCCACGGCCTATTTTGTACTTTTTAAAGCAGTTTCTTTTTCTATTTTGAGATGTTTACATTTTAGAATTGTTTATTTCTACTCTTTTAATTTCTACTTATGTGCAATGCCTTTGTTTTGTCATATTATCTTATCTTAAACTAGGGTTAGGGTTAGCAGCTGTAACACTGTAAATCTTATCTTATTTTGACAAAGAAACTCCATTCATTTCACTTTTAAGTGCAAACTCACCAGAGGCCTGTACTACGAAGCCGGTTCAACATAACCTGGATATGTTTTGAGTTAGCCGGTTGGCCCAATCCAAAACATACGCGCTCTGGCTAAGCTGTACTACGACGCTGGATATCAAGTGGATCGCTCAAGCCAGCCGTGTCCTATCTAGTTAGGTGCGCGTTCACATGAAAGGGGTGGTATCTGGAGCATTCGACCAATCACAAACGTGGACAAGCGTACTGACAGCGCAGCGTCATACTTCCTGAATGAAAAGTGAACTATAATATGAGTCAAATATGAAGAAGTTAAACTTTAAACATCCATGACTTAAACACTTTATCCAGGATCAAAGCCACATAGCTGCACCTGCAAGGTGAATACAGCTGGTAAAAGAAAAAGTGTTTGAATGCGTACATTAACAGGTTTATGATATCACTGCCCCGTCTAAGACACGATCTGACTTTAATTACATTTGACTCCAGTGTTTCGTCAACTTAATGTGTTGCTTAAAATAATACTTCTGCATACAGTATGTGACACTGTGAGTGTTGCACGGCCAGATACGGCTCAAGAAGCTGACTCAGATAAGGAAATATATGATACATTATGATGTGATATGATATGAATGATAATGGGACACGTCGACGTCTGCACTCACAGTGCCGCGGACTGTACTTAATGTTACTCTGATCCGGTTACTTATGTCGTGGCAGATATTTAAGTAAGCTTTCTTAACGCTAATGTTATAATAGTCAGATTGCTCTGAAGATGGGAGGGGATATTCTATTAATTTTCACGTTCACACAGTCGGTGATTTTGGCCGGCCGTCTTTCCTGCAACGGCAGTTTTTCTGTATTTCCTCTATCCTGTAATATGAATTGATCGCTTTAAACTCCGCACACGGAGCTCTGATTGGTCAGCAGGCGGTGCTTTCACTGAGTTGATCTCTTAGCCTGGAACCTAACCTCCTCCCGAGGAGGTTAGCCACTCAGCATAAGTTACCATGGAGATCTAGCCCGCTAAAAAGAGAACCAGCGTCGTAGGACCGGAAAGCCCGAGTTTTCCCTGAAGTCAGCCGGCTAAGCGAAAATCCGGCTTCGTAGTACAGGCCTCTGGTCTTTCTCCCCAACAACACCTCACAGCTTCAAAACAAAACATCGCTCTCCACCAGACTCATTTCTCTAGATTGTCTGCTTTCTTGGGCACTTAACGTAAGCAAATGGAGGGACACTAGTCTTAGGTATTGATTATTACATTTAAATTGTAACACTAGAAAAACTAGAAAATCTAACGTGGTAGCGTATCATTCCAATGCTCATCGATCAGGAGGTTTTCAAAGTCAAATCAGAATCACAGTGTAATAAATGCTTGTAAAAACTGGTTAAGGTAAGGGATTGCTACTGTATCTTATTTTGACAAAGAAACTCCATTCATTTCACTTTTAAGAGCAAACACACCGGGTCTTTCTCCCCAACAACACCTCGCATCTTCAAAACAAAACATCGCTCTCCACCAGACTCATTTCTCTAGATTGTCTGCTTTCTTGAGCACTTAACGTAAGAAAACGAAAGGACACGGTGCTGTGATGAGACAGCGGAGTGCACTTTCCTCTTTAATGACAATATAACCTCCCACACACTCCGTCTCAACCCAGCGCTGCCTCGCTTCATATCCTCGTTGTACATGCCGTTGTGATTTGATAGATCCCAAATGAGTCAGAAACCTTGAAAGAGACATAACGCTCTGTTTTTTTAAAATCCCCCAGACTCGAGCAATCATGCAATTTCTGCAAACACACACACAGGTTCTTCATCTCTGTGTAGACTGGCAGAGACACTCCAGGGTTGTTTGAAGGTGAGACAGGACAATAAGAGCGAGATCTGTTGATAAGCAATCAGTTCAGGGGACTCTGGAGACATCACAACGAGCGCAGACCGCTCCTCTAATACTCAGTGGAGTGGTGACACTTAGCCGCAATGGAAAATGGTCGCAGAGGGGGTGAACACACACACACACACACACACACACACACACACACACACACACACACACACACACACACACACACACACACACACACACACACACACACACACACACACACACACACACACACACACACTGTTATTACAGCCTCTGAATCCAGGAGAAATAGAGCCAATTTCTTTGTTTTTAGAAAAGGTTACAGAAAAGCAATACCTATCCGTGCGGTAATGGTGTCACAGTTCCACTATAGTGTCTGTGATAACTGAGTTTTATATCTGAAAGAATCAATACTGCTCTGATATTACAGCCAACAAGAAAATCCATACTAATATCTCTATAACTACACCTGTCCTGGACAAGTTTGTAGCAGCTACTTCACACAGCTTTTAGGTGTACTTTTATCTTCTAAGAATCCAGGTATGATAGGAAGTGAGACAGCAGGAGACTCTGGGAACTAAAATACTTAGATTCATTTGACCTAAGTGCTTTTGGTTACAATGATAAACCAAAACAGTTCATGGATAAAGGGTCAGACTTAGTCGTGAAACAGATACAGACGGGATGAGGATACTGTGTTACATCGGGTGTCTGCAAACACAGGTCATTATACGTGTTTTGAGTGTTGCTCAGATAAAACCATCTTTTTAAGGCGCGACAGCGCTCTTTTGTAAATTGGCCTATTAGGGCCCTTGAAGGTGGAACAAGGAGGAAAGTAAAGGAGGCAGGAGTGAGATTAAAGTATATTTATCCACTTAAAAATGACACAAGTTGAATGCTCTCTCATAAGTCATTCACTTACAACATATATATTTTGTGTTTACCAAAGATGTGCTCATTGGTTTCTTCAAATAAGTCATTCAGCATAGACCAAAGAAATATGAGTCTATTAAGACCATAAAGTCCTTTTCAGACTACCAAACAAACGTATCAAATGGATACAACTTTCTTTACATTTTGATCATATCCTTCTCTGGCATCTAACACTTTTTACCTCATGGTTTTCACATAAACTCCTTTAATATAGTCAACTCGAGGTGCTCTGCTTCAAACAGGCTCCTTCAGCTCAACCCCAAACACGTATCTGATGTTTTATTAAACACTACCTTACCTTTCATGCATCACTCTGAACATATTCACCTCAGTAACGCTTCACAGTGTGATGAATCTCTTTCTTCTGCTGCTCTGTCCTCACATTTTGGTCGAGGAACGAACCTTTTCTTGGGAAAGAGGCACAACGTGTAAAACAAGAGAACTGAATCAAGGTAGAGCTTGGCGATACCTTATGTACGTTAATCAGTACGGAGAGCGACCAGCTGTCTTCCGGGTTAGAAGTTGTATTTGAGTCGTGCCCAGACAGCGGATAAGTCGTATAAAGAACGCTTTGACACCCTCGGACATGTAATTACTTTCTAAATGGATCTCTGCAGGAAATGTTTGAATGCTCCAAAGAACACAGGCTGTTAAAACAGAGCAGAGACAAACATGTCTGTTTCTAACAAGTTATCAACAGCACTGTGGACGTAAATTAAGCTCAACACTGTTCACATTGATTAGAGAAACATCCGTCGCTCCTCCATCGTGGATCTGACCGCAGACAAAGACGAGTCCTTAAACTAACAATTAAAGACATGTTTGTGATCAGTTTTGCTTTTAATATGCATGTGTGGATGTTGAGATGTGTTGCTGTGCCTGATTGAGAAGGTGGATATTCATTGGTATTTATAATTTAGATAGTAGGTCTATAAATCTCTACTTGTTCTCCCGTGCTTTTGTAGACCACGTATACGACGTATCCGTCTGTGTTTTCTAAATTGGGGTTTTCTATTTTGTTGTGTTTTAAAATGTTTTTTTACATCATCAGGGTGTCCGCGGGGTCTTAAAAAGTATTACAAGTTGATGAATCAATTTAGCGAAATTAAGGCTATTAAAAAGTATTAAACGGCATTTTCCAAGGTATTACATTTAGTAGCTTGTTTTCAATAAGTATATAAATTGTCCAAAGAGGTTGTATTCTACAGTCTGCCTGAATGTAATCATTGCGTAGATGTGTAGTGTGATTCTGTGTAGTTTATTTATGGCATCCCGTTGGATGTGACGTCATCTGAACAGGACATCGCACGCTCACTGCTTGATAGCGTGCGAAGGTCCGTTTACGCCGGTTGTTAAACAACATCGTTATGGGGAAATGCAAGTCTGCGTCCAAATGGTTGGAAGATAAGGAGGAAGGACAATCAATACTGTATATAGTAAATGTGAGGTAAATTGCCCCCCCTAGTGGCTGAAATATGTTACAGCATTACTACGTCGAAAACTGTTCCAATACAAATATTTCATATATCAATATTTTAATAAGGTAGGACGCTGGTTAATAATATTGTAGCGTGTTCAAGTAACCAAGGGATATAGTAGTTATCAAATAAGTATAATATGTGCACAGTTATGATAAGTTTTACAGTTATGTAACGCACTGTTGTTGGGGGGAGAGACCGCCCCTTCCATATGAGTGTGTGTGTACGGCGGGCATGGAAAAGTCATACTTAGTGCGGTGAGCGCTGGCTTTATTGCTACTGTATCCGTAGCACCCCACGCAATAGTTGGGACTGTGTACTGACGTCAGTAAAAAAGGTTTGCCCCCCCAAGCGCAAATGTCAAACTCTGCCTATGATGGAAAGGGTCTTAAAAGGTATTACATTAGACTTCAGGATTCCTGCATATACCCTGGTCAAGTATGAGGGTTTTTTCAGTCTGTGGCTAAAGTATGGTTTTATTGTCTCATGCTTTTACATTAGTTTCTTTTTGTCCTATCAGTTGTGTCTAAATGTATTTATTTTATATATTTATTGATTTATTGATGTTGGTCCACTCTGTTGTTTTTAAATGTGCTGTATAGATAAAGTTGGATTGGATATTTTACAACATGGCGGCTCAACGCTCTTCCTCTCTTTGGTTTTCTGCACAGGCGACACAAAAACAGAGGACGCGGTCCATAAGGAGCCGGGAGAGGAGAAACCAGAGGAGGAGAACGACTATCACCGGAGCGACGAGCAGGTAAACCTCACCTGATCCACAGAGAGATCATTTCCTCTCTGAGAATCAGACTTTTTGACTTCATTAGAGGCTTGTTTTGACTAAATTCAAAGAAAAATCTAAAAAGTTGCATACAGTTGAACCTCGCTGAACTTTTGCCTAAATCAATATAAACTGTTGACAGCGAGAGTTCAGAGAGCTATTGTTTGTACCAGAATATTTTAAAGGTCCCCTATCATACTGTTTTTCATCAATATATTATAGGTCTCAGATATATCCAGAGCCTGTCTCTGATTGGCTGAAACACCAAACAGATCATTGCAGCATTACCCATAATCCCCTCTGTTTCAGCCCTGTTTCCAAAGTGCTGATTCTCTGTCTGTTACTTTAGATGAAAATAAGGAGCCCCTCCCCACGCCCCTCTGAGAGAGATTTGGTTAAAAAGAACTCAATGGTGCTCTAGGAGGAGATTCAGGTGATAAGGTGGGGGGGGGTTACCTTGGTTGCTGATTGGCTAATGGTTACACAAGACAACAAAATCGTTATGACATCATAAAGTGGCCAAAATCTTATCAGCTCATTTTCAGACAGGTTTTTATAGAAATGGATCAGGACAAAAAGAGAGAGAATCTTTGTTCCTGAAACTTTCAGACTCTCTTTCCACAGAGGGGACACATGTTGATGTAGAAGAGACATGAAGAAGAGGGGACACATGTTGATGTAGAAGAGACATGAAGAAGAGGGGACACATGTTGATGTAGAAGAGACATGAAGAAGAGGGGACACATGTTGATGTAGAAGAGACATGAAGAAGAGGGGACACATGTTGATGTAGAAGAGACATGAGGAAGAGGGGACACATGTTGATGTAGAAGAGACATGAAGAAGAGGGGACACATGGTGATGTAGAAGAGACATGAGGAAGAGGGGATACATGTTGATGTAGAAGAGACATGAAGAAGAGGGGACACATGTTGATGTAGAAGAGACATGAAGAAGAGGGGACACATGTTGATGTAGAAGAGACATGAAGAAGAGGGGACACATGTTGATGTAGAAGAGACATGAAGAAGAGGGGACACATGTTGATGTAGAAGAGACATGAAGAAGAGGGGACACATGTTGATGTAGAAGAGACATGAAGAAGAGGGGACACATGTTGATGAAGAAGAGACATGAAGAAGAGGTGACACATGGTGATGTAGAAGAGACATGAAGAAGAGGGGACACATGGTGATGTAGAAGAGACATGACAAAGTGGATTTTGCATAATAGGTGACCTTTAAATACATTTCAATATATATTTTTGTAATCCTCCACACCAGTGTTTCCACCTACAACAAATAATATAGATAATAAAACATATAATAATACAGATAACACCAAATATATTTGTCTTTACTAGAATATATCCAATCTATATTGAAAGCCATTTTCACCCAATGCCATTTCATGTTTAATTTTTAAGATAAACACTGTTGTGGGAATAATTGTAAGAAGTTTCCGGGTAAATTGTACCTTTTTAATTCAAAAATTGCTCCGCTGTTATATAAAATATAATCTGTGGAAAGGTTCATAGATCTTAATAAGGATGCTTCTATGTCTTCTGTAATTGTAACTTTCTTAAAAATCTAAAATATGTTGAAAAATTGAAATGGTAAAAAAAAACTGAAATATCAGATTTCAATATCTAAAAATGTACGTGCATAAACCAACAAACATCTCCATGGTCGGGTAAAACAAGAAGGAAGTGAAAACATGTTGTTTTTTATAAGCTATGTGTGCCAACCGTCAAACAATAAACCACATTTATAATAAAAAGAAAATCTTGGGAGGCCGTGAGTTTGTGTTTTAGCCGAAATTAGACGAAGCAAATTGGATATTATAATTGCGGGTTACAAAGCAGTCTGTCAGGAACAAAAGCTCCACAGGACAAAAACACTGATGCTGATAATTGTGGGAACAATTGCCTTTAAAAGCTTGCACATCAATTATTGTCTTTATAAAAGTGGCCCCCATGCGAGGAACCAGGCGCTTTTACAATTACTGCAGTCTTTTGTCTGAAGCGGCTGTTTGATTTGAACACCACTGTCGTCCAGCTGAAGGCGTTTAAAATGGAAATTAATTTGTATTCTTGCCCCATTCTCCAACCCTGAGAAGTGATATTAATAATGCACGGAGAGTTATTGTGCTGGACGGCTGTTTCAGAAACACTAAACGTCTTGGGCTGCATTGTTACAGGCTGAAGGAAATGTGGTTTGAGTCGTTGTTGTCAATTCAATTCAATTCAAATGTATTTATATAGCCCAATATCACAAAACACATTTGTCTCAGAGGGCTTCACAAATCAACAAACATGAATGATAATGTAAAAACAACAAACATATCTAAGAATATATTAAAATGACAAGATAAATGTGAAAAATACCAATGAATGGGTCCATGACACAAATACAGTTAGAATACAATAATTACAATTCCGGTAACACTTTATATTAAGGTACACAAATTCACCATCAATGAGTTGTTAATTAACATGCATTTTAGCAGTATATTGGCTCTTTATTAGTCATTATAAAATACTTTTTTAGGCATGTGGCGCAGTGTAATAGTGCGTTGGTGTTCGTATCAGGGGGGCACAGGTTCAAACCCCACAGCAGTCAGCATGTCGTTGTGCCCCTGAGAGACTTCACCCCAAAGTGCTCCTGTGGGGATTGCCCACAGTACTGAGCATGTAAGTCGCTTTGGATAAAAGCGTCTAACAAGTAACATGTAATGTAATGTAATACTTAATAATGCCTTATTCTACATGACCACATTCTACAAGTAATACGCCATTAGTTGAGAGTTTTCCTCAAGAACCCTCTAATTAGTGCTTATTTATTGCAAGTCAGGAAGTTGTTGTCCATGAGTTTTGGTCTTAATATGCTCTGCTCAATATGGGCCTAATAAGGCAGTAGTACCACAAGAATAGTAATTCACCCATAATAACACTTAAGAAATATGATCTATTCTTATGTAACAAGACATGTGTTAATTAAGTCTAAATAACTCAAAATTAGGTATTTCATTTATTAGGCCCATATTGAGCAGAGCATATTAAGACCAAAACTCATGTACAAACTAATGGCTTATTACTTGTAGAATATGGTCATGTAGAATAAGGCATGAATACGTGTTTTATAATGACTAATAAAGAGCCAATATACTGCTAATATGCATGTTAGTTAACAACTACTTGATGGTGAATTTGTGTACCTTAAAATAAAGTGTTACCAAAATCCCATCAAATGAAGGGTCCATGACAGGGTCTGGCTGGGGTAGGCTACAGCCATACCAAGAAATGGCTTAGCTCCACCTCAGCCCCACCATGAAAAATGATGTTAAAGTAAGCAAAATAAAGTCCGCCAACTCGCGCCGAGTAAATTGCACAGACAGCAGTTAGTAAGATTGATTTCAGTAGCCACTTGTCTGGAAATACCGAAGACTAGAAACGGTTTTGAAAACTTTTGTCACGTAGTGATCGTCTTCTCAATAAACACATCTTTGATAATGTCTTCTGGCCAATCAGAATCACGATAACGGCGTGGTGTTGTTGCAGGAAGCCCCGACGGAGAATACTTTTGCGGTAGTACATCTCTGTACATCGATACAACATTACGTGTTGATAGAAATCAACACGTAATGAAATAAGACCCCACGGTTTGATGATTGATAGGTGTGTGGGCTGTCTTTCATTTTGACACACAGAACAATGGGGGCTATCCACCCTTATCCACAATGTAAAGTCATTCAGCCTCTTCCCTCTTCTCTCTGTGAGGAGCAGCAGGTTCAGCTTTCAGAACAAAGTCACAAAAAACTAAAATGGCATTCATTTTTTTAAATATGTCGGTAATAGATTTTTTTTTTCTTCTCAAGAGAGTACCAGAATGTGTATTTTATGTTAGTATTTCAAAAAATCTCCAGGGGAAGAATCCCCCAGACCCCCCTGCAGGGGTTGGGTGTTCAGCATGTCAACTTGTTCACCTGTGGGGAAATTGCAGGAATGGCTCCAGGTCGCCCTTTTTATTTACTACAAGACAAATGTGCCTTTTTATTTCATACAGTTCAATTTGGATTGAGACAGGGAAATAATCTAAACCTCACGCGTGGCGTTTCACTGTCGGGGGGAGCGTGTATGTAATTACATTGCAAATACTGACTTGAGCCCCACCACTGTATGGGTTAGCCCTACCAGAGATTACCCAACAAATATACTCTGGAGCCGCCACTGGTCCATGAGGATGCTCAAAAGGGAGTTTCAAACCAGTCCTTACTGTACGCTGAACTAAAGAGGAAAGTCTTCAGCCTGCTCTTAAATGTGTGGACACTTGTCTTTTTGAGGACAGAAACCCAACATGCAGATATTAAAAAACAAGTCTCAGCTCCAGCAGCTCTTTATGTCATGAGGGGGAAGCAGAGCGCCCCAAAGGAGGGGAGAGATCTCGACCTTTTGGATTTTCAGCAGCGGTGCAGAATGCGTTCAGAATAACTAAAGCTGCAGACTGTGTGAGCTGAATGCAGACGTGTCAAATGTCACTGAGAAGAGGAGGAGGAGGAGGAGGAGGAGGAGGAGGAGGAGGAGGAGGAGGAGGAGGAGGAGGAGGAGGAGGAGGAGGAGGGGGAGGGGGGGGGGGGGGGATACAAGATGACTGATGGAAAGGAGAGATGTGCAGGATTGAAAGAGAGAGAGAGGAAGTCACCGTTCTGGAATGAAAATGAAATGGTAAAATGATAGAAGGATGAAGGGAAAGGACACAGCTGCAACACGACGCAGTACGATGGAGGTATTGATATTCTTAAAGAGGCTCCGATTATGCTCATTTTCAGGTTTTGTAATTATATTTTCAGACCATTTACATGCACAGAAACCTACAGGAAAGATAACACCCCAAAGAGCAGAATAGGGCCTCGTTGAGTAAGGACCCTTGAAACTAAACCGTCAATCATCTGTGTTTCAACAGACGATAGCACTGTATAAAAAAACACTCTTTCTTATGCATTTCAGTGACACTATTTACACAGGGTTGTAACAACATTTTAGGGTTGAATGAGAGGTGATTGCTAAATAATGAAATGCAACGCCCAGGGTTCTTACGGTCATTAAAAACCTGGAAAAGTCATGGAAATTCAAAATGCTAATTCCAGGCCCTGGAAAAGTTATGGAAAACAATATTTTTCCCAAAGTTTTGGAAAAGTCATGGAAATGTAACTAAAGTTGCATCAAATATAATTTATATTTCATCTAATCGCCGAAATAGTACTATAATGATAATAAATACTGTATCGTATAGTAATGAAACGTAAAATGGCATTTAACTGACGAGGTATTTTGCTGGTGAGAGATTTGAGTTGCTTTAGCGTGTAGAAGCTAGCAAGCCTATTTGATTTGTTTTAGATAGGCACAACATGTTTCATATGCAGACCTTATTTTCCTGTTCCATGTTAAAATAAACCATTTTCAGTGGTACGCTGAGACAGAGTTATTTTATTGGTCATGGAAAATTAGGTAAAGGTCATGGAGAAGTCATGGAAAATCATTGGTGAAAAAGTGTATGAACCCTGGTTGGGGTCAGTTTTTTAGGAAGTGTGGTTGTTACTTGAATTAACACATATTCTGGCCTTCCAAATATATCACTTTTCTATTATATGAAGTCATGGAGAAGTCATTGAAAATCATTGGTGAAAAAGTGTATGAACCCTGAAAGCCATCACGTAAGAGTGTTGTACTTCTAGATGAGGGGGAGAGGGATTATCAAACACTGTTTCCCTCACATTTGGTTGTAAATGTTAAGTTCTGTCTAAGAAAACAAGGGTTTACAGATCAGTTTGGTGGACCTAATTGTTAAACCCTCACTTAGGAGCCAGGGGAGGAATATCTTTATATTACAGCTGCATATTCCCCACATTGTACATTTTAATCTCCAAACTAACGCCTCTTGTTATCGTCAGAACAAAGGATTTATGTACCTGAGGACTGCAGATGGAAATTAGCTATCAGCTCAAATCTGGCATAATTCATCTGTCCTCTTTTCTGAGATGAATGTATTTGTATGCATGGTCCTTGTTGAAATAAATACATAATAATAATAATAATGTTTAGGAAGAATCGTGTCTTTTGAACTTAAGCAAATGCTCCAGTAAGAAGTAGTGTCGGATGATATAGCAATACAAATAGATACAGATGAGAAAACAGCTGGAGAGGGTCCAAAAAGAATCCTCAATCAAATGAAGATGACAGAGAAAATAGTCCCTGAATCCCCCCCCTGCTGAACATCACGACTTCACTGAAGGCTCCCGGCACGCGTGGCCGACCTCCAGATCATCCCCCGCTGACTCCTGGACGACCTTTCAGAGTTTAACCTTGGGGCGTGAAGCAGTGCCAGAGAAAAACACGGAGGGAAGCAGTGAAGCACCAGCAAAACAACGAAAGACAGAAATACAGTCGAGTCCGAATTTATCAGAGAAAACGACATTATCTTGAAGACTGAAGTAAACGGTCTCAGAGGTAAATATTGGGCATAGGACGATATGATAATGTCATGTCCTTATTATCCTGGGTAATTGAATAAAGGAATCGATAAATAGGATACCGATATTCATCAAAATATGCTTAAAGAGGCCATTTTGTGCTTTTTAGGGGTTTCCCTTTCATGTAGTGTGTTATATACGTAGGTTTTGTGCATGTAGACGGTCTGCAAAGGCTACAATCCCAATGTTACATCCAGAGGGAGATTCAGTTAGGACTTATAATGGAAAATCAGTAAAGTCTGATTGTTCTCTATCACGTAAAAAAGCAATACTGTCCCATCACTCATCACATCAGGGGCACTTGCTGGCACTTATCAATCTCTAAACAACTCTATATGGTGTACAAATAATTATAAAATGAATTAACTCCAGATACTTTGGGCTTAAAGACTTCACTTTGGAGACATTTGAGATTGCCGCTTTCCTCTAAATTATTTATCCATCCTCGAATCCTCAAAGCTGTTTTCAGCACTCTACTCTGGCTTTCTTCACACACACACACACACACACACACACACACACACACACACACACACACACCACACACACACACACACACACACACACACACACACACACACACACACACACACACACACACACACACACACACACACACACACACACACACACACACACACACACACACACACACACACACACACACACACACACACACACACACACACACACACACACACACACACACACTGCCTCACACCTCTCCCAGCGTTCATGCCTCTGTAATGAGCCCATGAAGAAGTGCTTCTCTTTCTCTGCGTGACACCACAGAAGCACATATGATGTTTCCTTGATATGCCTCCATATTGCATCATCTGTGTGTGTGTGTGTGTGTTTAACGGCAGCGGGAGTCTTCGGCTCCGTAAAGACGTCACTAATGTAATGAAACATCACCACGGAGGATTTCATTCCACATTACAGCCTCCTCTATAGCCACTGGAGAGCGGACGTGTTGCTCTTTGCTTATAGAGCGCGGTGTTTATTTGAGGTGTGAGCGGAGAGCAGGTGATGTTAGCTATCGCGTCTCCACAGAGAGTGTGTGACAGAATAACGAAGCACAAGGTGTGTGTCCTCCTCTGTCTCCTGGTGTGTGTGGGCAGAAGCTCAGAGGCAGTAATGCTTTCTGACTCCTGCAAACCATCCTCTGCCAAAACCTCCCTCCCCCCCGAGGACAAACAGGAGCCAGCAGTGAAGCTCAGTCGCATCAAAGAAGACAATAAGCAAAACTGCTTCAGAGGAACCTGCGGAACAACAGGATGAATTAACCAGCTGTTAGAAGTCTTAATAAACATTCAGTCTGCTTTAATGGGAGATTAGAGGGAATACGTCTTCACAGTGGACAAGTGTATGAAGCTTAGTTCCACTACAACTATTCATTTATTCTTTTGTTGAACTAGTTCCCAGTGGTCTCCGTGTACGGCTGTTTCCAATCACCCCAATAAATCTATAGCTTTTAAAGTCGAAAAGTTATTTTTTCAATACATTATAGATGTATTATTCACAACATGTCTTTATCTATCAAAATATTTTGTTAGATTTCCAGATTTTTGGGCATTAATCCGGTTAGAATCTAAATCATTTGTCTGTTCTTCTTATGGCTGCACACAATGGGATTCAAGGACTGACCAGTTATTATTATTATTATTATTATTATTATTATTAGGGATGCTCCGATCCTCCGATCGATCGGCCGATACTCACTCTCTGCCGATCGATCGGTGCTCTCTAAAAATGCCGATCGCATGACGTAAAATACATGACACTTTTCTCTGTGCGCGGCAAAACAAGCTCGCCAAAATGGCTTCACCAGTCTGGCAGTATTTTAAGGTGTCCGAAAATGACAATAAAATAGCGGTATGCAACGTGTGTGAAGCAGAAATCCTGCAGCTCCGCCCGCTGTGACGGACCGGTGAGCGGAGCAGAACACACATTAAGAGTTAGACCTAATGTAATAATTATGTTGGTTGTTGTTTGTGGAAGCGCCAGTGAATGAGCCCCATTAACTGAGTTTTAAACATCATTACATGTCACTTGTTAGTCGCTTTTATCCGAAGCGACTTACATACTCAATACTGTGGGCAATCCCCACGGGAGCAATTTGGGGTGAAGTGTCTCAGGGACACAACGACATGCTGACTGCAGTGGGGTTTGAACCTGATCCGAACACCTACACACAACCCACTGCGCCACACGCCTCCTTCATCATCACTTTAAATGGAAGATCCCCATAGGCCCCGCCCACTCGATCGGATCGGCGATCGGTATCGGCCGATACTGATTCTGGCGATCGGCCACAAAATTAGCGATCGGAGCATTATTATTATTATTATTATTTACGAATAAAAGTAGATTTTATAATAAAAAGACCAACTAATTTAATCAGATCAATGACATTTTAAGTATTTTTAGATTTTGTTTGTGGTTGTGTTAACCTGTGGCGATAACGTCATAAAATGTGATTTATTTCGTAAAGCATCTTTTGAGGTTTTAGAATAACTCAATCTTAATTTAAAGAATCTAAAATTCTGAAATATATTTACCATAGAGCAGCAGTTACCAACCTGTGGACCCCCTAGTGGTCCGCGAAGGCATTGCATGTGGGCCGCCAAATTTTGCAAAACATTATGATTTGTGTGGAATTTTTTTTAATTATTACGATTTTATTTGAACCTCTTTTCCTTTCTCTTCCTTGATCCTCCTTAGCAACGGTCATTACAGTCCTCGACAGCGGTCTGTTCTACTGGATTAACAATGTGTCACATGTTCTGAATTGACCAATCAGAACTTTATTTAGCCTCTGTATTGTTTGTGGGCCGCGAATAATTTTTTGATTCTTAAGTGGGTTGGGAACCGCTGCCATAGAGAAAACTGCTACTCGGTGATACCTACAGTATTGATATATACTGTAGGTATTGAGAAACCAACACCAACATGCCTGTTACTGGTTCCCCTGCTGTGTTTAGTGTCGGGTTTTTGCTCATCGTACTCTCTCTGCTGTGTTTGGTGCAGACTGTGTGAGTATTTTTGTTTACAGTCCTCTCTCCTCGTGTTTCCTCTCAGGTCAGCATCTGCTTGGAGTGCAACAGCAGCAAGCTGCGAGGTCTGAAGAGGAAGTGGATCCGCTGCTCGGCACAGGCGACCGTCCTGCACCTCAAGAAGTTCATCGCCAAAAAGCTCAACCTGACATCGTTTAATGAGGTACACAAAACAACACATAACAACAACAACAACAACAGGAAGCTGTTTCTTATCATGGCTTTAGTGACTGATAAACAACAAAAATCACAGGATAAAGACACAAATACGGGAGAACATTTTAATTTTTTTCCTGATAATTTACGGTTCTGTGCACGTTAATGACCTTTAATGACCTTTGCTTTGACTTTAAGGTAAATCCTTAAATGGGTCACAATGCAAAGAAAATATATTCAAGTTTTAAAGAAATTAAACGGTAACGGGGCATAAAAAAACCCAATTAAAAGAAACGTTAGTATTTAAAAGTTTTTCTCTCTGTCTTTTTTTAGTTATTGTCAGACTTCTTCACAAAAGCAAAAGTAATTATCAGACAAAAGTGCTTAGATATCAGAGAATTATCTCCAATTATCATTAATGTTTAATCTAAGATCTAAGTTTGGGGTGAGAGTAAACTACATTTGTTTTAGTTGTATTATTTTTATTTAGTTTGTGGAAAAATGTGTACAGTAATTTTTCACATTTTCACAGTCATCTTTAATTCTTGTTCCTAAAAAATAACACAGTTTGAATCATGTGTCCTTTAACGGACAAATTATTTTAATTCTTACTACTTTGTTTAAAGTGGACCTGTCATGCTATATTTGAATAATATAGTGTAGGACCATACCTATATAAGGCATATTTATACTTTTTTTTTCTTCAAAATACCAAACAGATCATGCATTTTAGCCATGCCTCATTTCGTGAGAACAGCACCACCTACAGGCCTGGCATATGTACTACAGTGTCTCCAGCGCTTTCGAACGGCAATGTCTGTCTCCTCCTGATTGGTGGAGTTGGCCCAATAGCCGTAGCGCCACCGTCCTGACGTCAGGACAGTGTTCAAATCTGGATCAGTTTTTATCAGATCCGTTGCAGCCCCTTTTTTAGAGATTTGGGTATGGAGGAAAATAGAGAGGGTTGTGTTTTCTGACACTTGGTGAGTTCCCTGGAACACCGGGGACACATATTCATGTATAAAAGACGTACAAAAGTGCATTTTGCATGATAGGTCCCCTTTAAACTTGTTTGGGCTCACCAGCTGGGCGTTGAGTTAATCAGAAGTAAATCACACAAAGGTCAGTTAATTATATTTTTCTGCGCTGACTCACTCACGGCCTTTTGTCTTGTTTGTTATATCCAGCAAGAAAAGAGCTCTTATGATATCTAAATGTGGTAATTCCTCTATTTATTGTCTCTAACCGCCTCTTCCATGGCAGCAGGGGGACGAGTGGGCGATAATTTGACAGATAGATTTTTAGATGCCGTGAATAATTATCCTAAACGCCTCCGTGTCGTCTATTTTTTTTATTTCCTGTCTGTTTTCTCCTGGCTGTCACAGAGATGAGTGGGAAGCCCCCCCCCCCCGTCCCCCCACCAGCTATTGTTGTCCCGTCTATTCTCCATAAAAAGCTGTTGTTTTCAGCGGCGAGTCGAGCTTTACAGCGTCGTGCTTTGTCAGAAAACACAGAGATATTTATTCATTGCTCGTGTTTTCGCTGTCCTCCTGTCACACAGCTAAACGTCTGCAGGAAGTTAAATAATGATTATATAAAAAGAGGAGGAACCCCCAAACTCATCAAACTCTGAAAGAGACCCTACTCTGCTTTTCTGGGGTTTTCCCTTTCCTGAAGTGTGTTCTATAGGTTTCAGTAATAATAAATTGTATTTATAAGCGCACTTTCCATTTGAGTAAACAAAACTCAAAGTGCTACAGAGTAAAATGGTTCAAACCAAACAACAGCACATTTTTTTTAAATATAATAAAGTAAACAACAGAATAAAAACAGTGACGTTTAGGTCGGCATGGCAACAAGTGGGGGTTTTAAAGATCTAGCAAAAGGCTATTCTAAAAAGATGCGTTTTTAGGCCTTTTTTTAGTGCATGTAAATGGTCTGCAAAGGCTCAAATCCTTGTGTCATCACTATGTAACACTCAAACTACTATTGGCTAGCGCTCCAACACATTCTTCGTGATAGGCTACGGGGCGGGACATTCAACTAACCAACAGTAACACATCTCAAGATGTTCACAGAAGAAAAACTAGCAAATATTCACATTTGAGATGCTAAAATAACTGTGTTTCGGTTAAAAAGTGCCATTCCTTTTCTTCTGTAGGTTTATTTGCACTGATGTAGGAAGAGCATACATTAAAAAAGGAAAACAAGGAACTCAGAAAGGATCTGGGAAGCGAGAGAGAAAGAGAGCGTTTTATTCTTATACGCTTCAAATCATACCGAATATATTCTCTATTTTCAAGTCGTCAATCTTCATGATTATTTTTATCAATTAATTAGCCTTTTTTTATGCCTTGTTTCATACAAGGCATAAAAAAAGGCAAATTAATTGATAAAAATAATCCAATTACATTCCTAGTTCACTAATGGCGCATATCCACTACAGCGCGGTTTAAGCGTGCCGTGCCCGGCCCGTTTTTGGTTGCGTTTCCACTAGGCGTAGTTCCGGCTAGCGGGTACTTTTTCACAGTTTTTCTGGCTCTCCAAAATCGAGGTTCTTTCCGGGCAACAACCGGGCTGAGTATGCTAAACTAGTGAGAGAATCGCTGGCAACTACAACAAAATGAACATATTTGACGGTGATTTAATTGTAATACACGTTTCCAAATGATGCCGAAGTAACAACATACTGATACCGGTTAGTAAAAACCATGAATTAATGCTTTGGCAAGTCTGCAGACAGACGGCAGGCGAAAACCTTTTAAAATGCGTGTTTTCTAAATGGAGATTGGCTAAGCTAACGCAGTATATGCTCCGACCGTCCACACTCACAACAACGGCCTACAGACATAAATAAAGCAGCGACTGTATTCGCCATGACACAGACAGTCTGTGGTTTGTACTTGTTTAACTTTTGTCTAGTTTCTGAACAGATATGAGGAGCTGTGAGCTCTGAGTGCTAACAGCTAACGGCTGATGTTTGTGGTTCGCATTGAAGATGACGTCACGGCTCCGCCTACACTGCGTTACTATAGTTACTACCCCAGCTACTAAACTGTAATGGAAATGCAGCATAAAGTGAGCCTGGCCTACCAAGGCCTAACTATACTATACTAAGCCGTGCGAGGCCCTGCAGTGGAAATGCGCCATAAGAGGCTGCATCCCTAGATGTGTTCCCTCAAAAGTCATTTTATTTTGACACAAAAACAGCCTTTGTTGACTTTGAAGATGAAATCTCAGCTCGTCCTCTGGATTATTTTCAGTCTTTCCTGATCGCAGACCTGGACCGTTTCCACGCTCTCTGTGTTTGAGCTGATAAAAACCAGCTGCTGTTCCTTCATGATCCAACAGGTGGCGCTGTGGTAGTGTTTTCTCCTCCTCTCTCTCAGTATTGACGGCAGAATATCAATGTTTCCTCACAGGAGCCGCAGCAGCCTCGTGTTCACTATTGAACTTCTCTGTTCTCCCAAAAAGCCTCACTGCTGCTCAGGAGCCCGCGGCCCGATCCTAAATCCCGATATCTAAAATGTGCTTTGTGTGCAAAAAAAAAGAAATGTTAAAACTCAGTCTGAAAAATAAGGAGTGTGGAAGTTTTACTACAGAGGCCTCAAACCAGAGTTACTCATAGTTTTGTCGTGTGGTACACCTCAGTTTGAACTCAGAAATGGTTTAATAATCTCCTTTTTGTCGTCTTTTCACAGCTGGACATTTTATGCAACGAGGAAATTTTGGGAAAGGACCACACTTTGAAATTTGTTGTTGTGACAAGATGGAGATTTAAGGTAAGTCATGCTTCAGGAACACATGTGGCGAATGGTTTATATATTGCCTGTGAAGAACTGTGAGAGTCATTTGTATTTTGATTTAAAGGCATTTCTACTTTGTTGATTTGCCTTATATGATTTTCTTCAAGAGGCATGACAAATTCAAATGTGGCCTGCTATCTCAAACTTTGAAATCAGTATTTATCTAAAATCTTGAAAAGAATATCCCAGAAATTGAGATTTGGATAATTTTGTATCATGTGATATTTTTAATTCCTATCCTAAAATCCAAGGTGATGTCTTTTAGTGTTTTGTTTCAGGTAAACAAAAGATTTTCAGTTAAAAATGATTAAAAAAACGGGATAAACAACAATTTATCAATATCAAAATAGTTGATGATCTCATTTCTCATCATGTCAGTGGATACGGTAGATCAAGTTAACTGCTCTTTGTTGCAGTGGTTAGGGTTTAATGATAAAAACAAGTTATTTTCCACATTTGAAAAGCAGAAAACAGCATTTTATCAGCAAAATAGATGCTGATTATTTCATCAATCTTTGCAGCTCAACAACACACTCTGTTATATCTAGACTGTATCCCACATACTTTTATTTTGTAAGGGTTTAAAAAAAGTGCTTCCTTTTCACCACTGCTTGAAAATGATCAGCACCACAAATCCTGACAGGCGTATCGTGCTTTGGATGATAAAGCTAACTGCTGTTTGTTGGGGGGTTCAGAGAATAATCTCTGACGTGTTTTATCCAAAACAGCTCTCACTGAGGTTGTGTTTGTGTTGGGAAAATAGTGAATATCCTCTACCAATATCAGAGTCCACATGATAACAAAGGTATCCCAACTGTAGCTGTGTACATGACAGGATGTATGATTACCTAGAAGAGCATCAGGACTGTTTGAGGCATATGATAGCTATGTGATTAACATGATGATTCAGCCTCTATGGAGATAGACATATGACAAGCATGCTCATTTCTGACGTGGAGCTAATCTGAAGTAAACATTGAATACTGCTTTCTATTCCTCCATCTTGTGACTGTGTAACTCCCTCTCTTGGATATCAGCATGTGAAGGACACTGTTCAGGAACTAGTTGATGCTCTGTATGTGATGACTACTTTTTTTTAGATTTTGAGTAAAAAGTCAGAATTTAGAGATTTTTAGAAAAAAATACAGGATTTTGAGATTTTGAGAAAAAGTCAGAATTTGAGATTTTGAGAAAAAGTAAGAATTTTGAGTTTCTGAGAAAAAAAGACAGAATTTTGAGATTTTGAGAAAAAGACATGATTTTGAGAAAAAGTCAGAATTTTTTGAAATAGTCAAAAACCAACATTTTGAGAAATAGTCAGAATTTTGAGAAATAGTCAAAAACCAACATTTTGAGAAAAAAAGTCAGTATTTTGAACATGACAGGATGTATGATTACTTAGAAGAACCGGTATTCCTCCATCTTGTGACTGTGTAACTCCCTCTCTTGGATATCAGCATGTGAAGGACACTGTTCAGGAACTAGTTGATGCTCTGTATGTGATGACTACTTCCATTCGGGAGAGGATCACAAATACATGGATCCTGAGATTGAAGCTCAAGCCGGTGACGAGTGAGATTTTTCTAACAGTTTGTGTCTCCCCCCCCCCGCAGAAATCCCCCCTCCTGCTCCATTACAGACCCAAGATGGATCTGCTGTAGCCAACACGGACACAACGGTTGTTTTTCTTTTTTATCCTGGTGGCCGCGGACTGTGCCGAAAACCTTTTTAATTTATGCAAAGACGATCATCCAACACCAAGCAAACACCCGACGGTAAAAGTCAACACGAGCCAGCTAATCGGGATTTAAAGGGCGAGGGGGGCAGCGACAACAAAAAAAACTGGCAACCTCCAGCACAGATACTGCAACACTGGTGTGTTTTTAGGAACTAAAACAACCTGTTTTTTGTCCGCTACATCCTAGATATGTGAACAAAACGAAAAAATGGAGAGTAAAGCATATATTTATACTTTTGTACAGAAGAGACACATGGAACCAAGACACTACTGGTGCTCTGTTTACACGCAAACACGATGTCGGGAATCACCGTCTTTTATGAGCTTCATGCAGATTTCATCCTCCTGAGACTGAGACGGGAGGAGGACGGGTCTTTTTTTTATATAAAAAGGTGTTTTTTTCTTTCTTTCTTTCTTCAACAATACACTCGACACGTCTTGGGAGCACAGAAAGTTTATGGAGAAATTATATACCAGGCTGTTTCACGTAAATTGTCTCTGATTTTTTATTTTTTATTTTTCTCAGTTCGTCGGCTTTGTCTAATTTTGCTATTGGGTTCTTGATGATTGTCAATTGTGAATAGGCTTAAAAAAATTGTGTAGTAATTTATGTTCTATATACCAATATTGTACATAAAATGTCATTACAGAGAAAGAGAGAGACTGAAGAGAGTAAGAGAGACTTTAGACTGTTAGAAGAAAAGAGAGTGGATCCCAGAAGTGCTATCTTACGGTGGCTAACACGTGCTAACGCGCTCCAGCGGCCCAACACTTTTCCATTAGTAGACACACGCTTCACTTTGAAAAACTATGCAAATATAAAAACACAAATGGGCCAAAACTCACGTAAATGAAGAAACGTTTTCACCAACTTGACAACACATGGGCAGCATTTACTAAAAGCTCTGCAAGAAGCTCAAAACACAACGGAAACCAGGGGATTATAACACTGGAAACTAACCTTAAAATAAAAGTTTTAATGGCTTATTTTAACAATGTGATCACATGATTCCTTCTGATATTATTGCAGATCTTCTGTAAGCTAACATAGCTAACCTACTAATTTAAATAATAATGATAAAACACTGACAGTTATGAAACAGACTAACTCTGCCAACAGTTGTCCAGCTTTATAATCCCCGAACGTCACCTTGTGCTACGTTCCTAGCCGTGTGCGACACTTTTTTAGTGTCCCCTAGTTTCCGTTGTGTTTTGAGCTTCTTGCAACGTTTTAGGAAAATGCTGCACATGTGTTGTCAAGTTGGTGTGGATGTTTCTTCATTAACATTTGTGTTTTTATACCTGCATTGATTTTGAAACTACTAAGCGTTTGTCCTATGGAAATATTGTTGTCCATTGTAGCGTGATTGCACCTGTCGGCCAACGTACTATCTATATGTCGGGGGCGATAAATTAGGATTTTTAAAGACAGACTCACTATCAGTATCAAAGTATATAGAAGCTTCTCTATGTTGTCTGAGAAAGACAACACAAAACAAATATATCAGATCCTCTGCCATGTGTGTATGTTACATTGATCTCATAGCATTACAAGACTTTAGGAAGAAAGCTTCCCCTCATCTCACCGGCCATCCACGTCTTTTTTTTGGGTTGTTTCAACGTCATTATCGACCAACACAGTCTTAACAATATCACTACAGAAAACACACTTTTGCTCAGAAATGCCTGCAGGACATAAAACATGCAATATTCAGGCTGAAAATGTTTCAAAAAGCAGTCTTTAATATCTGTTTCTGCAGTCTGACAGTGACACACCCACATGTTTACAGCTTTTGTTTGAGGAGCTAGCAGCAGATGTTGTTTGCCCTCTTTAAAACATGCATTTCATTCTGCCTCATTTTCCCAAACTCTCTCAAATCTCCATTTAATTTTGACTTGTAATTTGCATACCAGTCTCACTTGTCTTGAAACAGAGTAGAGCATCTTATCCCCAATTTAAATTCTGATGTCAAATATGGATATTTTCCCGCCCACAGGAAGTGAATAGATTGGTGCAGGGATGAAGTGTCTCTGACCCAGGTTGGCATCTTCCTGGTTCCCTCGACAAGAACAAATGTGATATTTCCATTGGGTTTCAGAGGAAATAATCTCTGTGGCAACACACGTTTATGATGCTTACATGTTTTGTTCAGCAGGATCATTTCCACATATGAACACCACTTAATAAATGTTAAAGTGCAGTAGTCAGAAGTAGAAGGCTAACGTTGATTTCACGCAGCCACCGCTAAGCTAAAGGCAGCTAATGTTCGGCCTGACAGTCTCGTTTAGACACACGCTGTTTATAAATTCACCAGTGGGGTATTTTATGTCGTGGAACAAAACGTAAAAGTCTCTTCAACTTGTGTTTACCACAGACCTTATTTCTGATTTCCAACAACAAACACATCCAGAAAAACAGTCGAGATTGAGCTAAGGTGACCGGAAGTGCTAATATGCTAACTCATTTCTGGGTTTTAGGACTCATTCCTGCAGACCTCTATTAAGGTTTAGAAGTTGAGGGCACATCACAGTGGTCTGAAGTCTCACAGGCGGTCCGGTTTGAGAGACATGAGTAGATTACTGACGTCACATGGTGAGTTTAAGGAGTTTATCTTTCAGTTTCTTCTCAATGCCAGTCGGAGCTTCAGATGTGCAAAGTTTCAGAACATTTCTGAAAGTGAAGTGGATATTGTTTTGTTCGTCACAGATTTAGTACAAAACTTGGATTTTGTTTCTGCAGGATAGCCAGTGTTCAATATTTTTGACACATTTCCGAGTGTTTTTAAGAACTCGTGATTTTCAGGTTTCACACAGGGAGGTTTTTTGAGCATTTTGATATTGAAATTTGAATTACAATGACTCCCGTTGGGTCATTTGGTGCTTATTGATGTGTGTTTGTAATCCTGAGGAGGACTGTTCCTCAGGAGCGTAACAAATGTTCTGTCAAACTACAAAAATGTCTTTACTCAATAACTGTCTTTAACACAACTGGATCCCTGAACGCCGGACCTCAAGTAGTATTACCTCACTGTCTGCAACTACACAACATTTATTTACCTTTGCATTGTTTCACTACAAGCCGTGTTGTCTGTGTTCATGCAGGGTTCCTATGCATTGTTAGGCTCCAAAACGTCTGTAAAAATCTATTAATTTCTAATAACAAGTTGGGAATGTCTGATTCACACTTTGGCTGAAATCCTCTTATCTTTCCCAGTATTGCGATAGTTTAGTATCGTGAACGAAGTTGGTTATCTGATCTACAATTGTAAGTCTGTTATAATGGAACATTTACATATTAAGAAATGTATAGGAACCCTGCCTCATAAGGACCTTTGACGTGTGAATTATAAAGTTGTTTTTTTTAGCCTACACTTCTGTAAACTCTACCAGCTCAACCAAAACTCCTCCAACAGTCTGTGATCTCTGAACTTATCCTTATAAATTAACCTTTGATTTACCAAGGCCCTAAATCCAGTACCATATGAAGAGTGTTCATTATGTTTGGTTTCTATTTCACTACATAAAATCATGGAAAGTATTGGTTGAGAAAAGGTTCAAATGCAAATAAATCTTTGTGAAAATCTGATTATAAAAATATAATTTGCAGCGCATGAACTCTGATTTTTAAATTACTTTAATTCTTGCGATTTCTCCCTTTTTTGTATCTACTGGGAACAACACATACCAGCTTTTGGTGAGCAGAAACAGACACAACATCTAATCTGATTGTTTCCTTACCTGGGTGAAAACAATGAGCCTCAGCTTGTGAGCTTATTGTGTTAGAACTTGCTAAAAATCCCCACAAAATCATGTAAACCTGTGCTTTACTACAGTATGTGTCTGTCGGTGCAGACCGGGTGTTTTACAGGCGTATTCACAGGTTATTTCTGAGTCACACTGATCTGGTTTGCAGTTGTATTATTGGGGGAACATGCCGTTTGTCCTGGTGTCAGCCATTTAAAAATATTAATGTTATTTTTCAATTTAGCAGTCTGTATCTCCTTGTCATGTGCGCACTCTGTTTGTGATGAAATCTCTTCAATGTGCAGAGGCTTATTCCCACCAAAAGGTGCTACTCAAAAGTCTTTTAACACTTACATTTCTGTATCGTGCAGAGCAGACACTGTGTGAAGGACTGGCTTTGAAACAAAGGTTACATGCGTGTGTTTTCATTTGATTGTTGTACCCATTTTGTTTGAGGAGGCTCTGTTCACACTGCTGCAGATTTTGTGCAAAAATGTTCTGGATTTTTCGTCATTTCAAAAATATTGTGTAGTCCTTTTCTTGATTTGCAGATATTAAGACAAATCACAGAGTATATATATATTACCTACATGATGAGAGATAGAGACACAAATGTGCAGGTGCAGATTTTGCAGAGCTTATCTTCTCTGTCGTTGACCAAATTTTGTTATTTGGCAGCAAGCTAATCTCATACAAATATCTTTATTTCATCATCGTAAGCTTTTCTCAATGCATAGAAGACATCAGCACAAATACATAAATAAAAGCAGCAATAAGAAGGCTCTATATAGATTAAATTAAGTTAAATATACATCTATTTTACAACCTGCTGGTTCAAATACACAAATCTGAAACGCTGCGATGTGAACAAAGCTTCCTCTTCCTCCTGGTGTTCTTTTGGTGTGTGATCTGTGAAGGGGAACCTGATGGAAAAGTCTGTGACGGTCAGAAAAGTCTCTGGCTCGGTGCTTCCTTTGGTGCTAATGTTCAAAAAAGATTCAGACAGAGACACGAAAGCACTGTTTTGCAAAGACCTCCTGTTTTGTTTTGTTTGCACTGATGTTGCTCACGCTTAAGTCCTTGGGTTGTCTTTATCTTGTCTTGCGGTGCAGAGATCGGTGCTCCCTTTCTTTGTCCCTTCATCTCTCATCGTATTGTATGGTTTGGTGCTCTCTTGCCTGGGCTCGCACATAGACTGATTCTGTGAAAAATAAAAATGGTGAGAAATCAGATGTGCTAGCTGCAATTTCCTGCCTCAAAGTGAAACTCACGCTTGTTACGCGACTCGGGTCAACATTCAGATTGAGACTTGCTTCGAAAAACACTTTCCCAAAGTTATCTCGACCTTCTCTGCGGCTCAGTGTGTGTCTGAACGCTGCAGTGGATCGATGTTGGTGCTTTCTTTATCGGCCCGGCATAGAGACATCAGTGACAGCCGAGTTAAGAGGCTTTAGAGCAGGCTGCAGATACGAACGGTCTCCGTGTGTCAGAGTCTCCGAGGCTTTGACCTTGAACACCTGTCAGCCCGTTTGTTATCTGGGATCTGAGCGAGGTGGGCTGCGTGGAAATGTTGATTTCAAGGCGGTTTTCAAGCCGGTACGCCTCCACCTCGATGTGAAGGAGAGTAAACAATTTATTCTCCTTTCTCTCAGCATTCATTTGTTGGCAGCAGAATCATTCCTGGCTCTTCTCTGTTCACTCCGCTGTGATAAGTGTCCACTCTACGAGGGTGATCGCTTTCTTTTGTTGCCCGGCTCACACTGTCCCTTATTTTTAAATCCTAGGTAGAGCTTTCAGTAATCTCAGCGTCAGGGTTGGTGTGAGGCAGAGGAGTGGACCAACACAAATGGATATATCGACACTCCAAAATAACTAATTGTCACAGGTTGCTCGGCTCTGAGAAGCTCACATGCACTGAATCCCGTCCTTATAGCAAATAAATGTTAAATTATGGAGTGTTTTACCACTTCAGGATTGTGACGTTTCCTTCTTTTGAGATTGTTTACTGGCGGTAGGATCGGCAAAGTCCTTTTTTTCGAAGGCAAATCCCCTTGACTTTAGTGTACGAGTGCTAGATTGAGATTGTTAGTTTCAGTAATTCGGGATATTGGGTAAAACCCCCGTGAGCCATAGCAAATGTCGTACAAAAAAATCTGTCCAATTTTCTTTTTTATTGTTATTTATTTATGCTGAAAAAGTGACTTCTGCAGTTTTTGAAAAGAGTTTTTTTTTTTTTGTGGAATTTATACCGGACTCATAAAATGGCTTAAATTAGAGAATTTAGAATTTTGTTTTATTCCAGGTGTGTCTCTGCAATGCGCCGTCTAATAAATCCATCGTTGTCATCTTAGGTCAAGACAAATTAAACGTTGTGGTTATTGTATTTGCAGGAGGATGTGCAATCTACGGTTCTCCGATGGTTCCAGGTTTCAGTGTTTTTTTTTCTGCTTTTGTTAATTTTCCAGTCAGTTCCTCAGGTCACTAAATGCCTTCTGGTCCTGAGGGTGACCAGGAACTCTCAGAACATACACTAATGCACCCGAAAAACAAAATGACTGGATTTTACTTTAGTCTCGTCTCTCTCTCGTTTCTCCCCCTCCCCTCCTCCCGTGACAATTTCCTCAGACTCTTTGTTTATTTTCAGGTGAACTCGGGCACTTATTCAGGTGTCCTTTTTCTTGCCTCCTTTTTGTATTATTGTTATTTATTGCACATGTAATGAACTGGTTTCCATTGCCGCATTTTAATTCAAGGAGTTTTGGGTCTGAGAATGGGGCGGGAATTTCTTACGTACAAAACTACAGAAGCTTTTGTCAAAACCTGAGTGTGTATTTCATCAATAAATGCCTTTAAAAGTGTTTCTGATGCTGTGGTGATTCATGTGTTTGAATGTGTATGGCTGTGCTTTTTGGAGTTTCCCCTTTCCTGTAGTGTGTTATTTAGGTTTTAGTAGTGCATGTAAATGGTCTGCTAAGGCTAAAATCTCTGTGTTCCCTCCAGAGGGAGTTTCTCTCTCTAATATAAACTATGTAAGAGCATTTTAATTTAAAATGATATGGTTAGAGAGAACAAGTGGTGTTATAAGTGTTAAAGCAACCTGGAAAAATAGCATTTGCACGTGTTATAGTCGTATTTGTGCAAAGATATGACATTTTTCTGGGGGGGGGGGGGACTTGCAATGTACACAAACGGTTTTATTTCTGACTCGGGTCAAGCATGTGTTGAAGAGATATGACTTTACATCCATTATTGTTGAGGATTATTCTTTGACATCAGATGCGTTTGATGAATCCTGCCAATCTGCAGCTCAAAGCTGATTAAAATAAATGGATTATTTTCAAACAATTTCACACGGTTTCAAGTGTGACCGTTGTGGCTGCAGTTATCGGGGTTTGATATTTGAAGCTGGAGCTGATAGATTTCCCTTCATCGCTGTTAGCTGGAGAAAAATAAATGGATCATGAAAACCTCCGCAACAAATACATTCTCCACAGAACTGGACACTTGTTTATTCTATGAAATGATAAATACATGACTTCATTTCAAACCTTTATTTAACCAGGTGAATCCCATTGAGATCATCCATCTCTTTTTCAAGGGAGACCTGCTGCAAGTAGGTTCCACATGAAGACATAAAAACATAAAACAAATGAAGCTCAGCGCAAGTTCAACCAGGAAGACCGTCTGTACTCATTCATTTACTATGTCCATGTTACTACTCTCTCTCCTCTCAATATGTGATCGGGGGCGTCACTCTCCAGCTTAACCAATCACTTCGCTCTATTCTCACAAGCCTATCATAGCGCTCCGCTAAACCTTTTAAATCTGCTCTCCCCTCTGACAGCTGTCATTTCAGGTGACTCAACGCAACCCTCCTCCACCCCCTTTCACCTCCTGTCCCTCTGAATCCAGGGTCAAGCTAAGCCCCTCCCCTTCAGACCGAACCCAACCATCCATTCACCACCACCAGTGTCTAGACCCCGGGGGGGGAATGATACTCCTGCACAACGGGGCCTAATCACCAAAACTCCATTACATTCATTTGTGTATTCCTGGCAATAAATATGTATTCTTCTTACATCAAAACCGTCTCTCCAGATTGAACAGAAGAAAAAAAGGACATCATACAACATAGATACAGGGATTTACAATTTACATACCTAACGACATTTACAGGTACCAACAGTATGAGATTGCATATTGCATATTGCACATTGCATGGTCCGGCAGTGGCTCAGTCAGTAGGGGCTTGGACTGTGAGCCGTAGGGTCGCTGGTTCAAGTCCCCGACCAGACCTAAATATGGAGTGGACTTCTACTTGGAGAGGTCCCAGTTCACCTCCTGCCCTGCCGTGGTGCCCTTGAGCAAGGCACCGGACACCCCCCTTCCCCCCCCACTCCCATTGCTCCCCGGGCGCTGTACAATAGCTGCCCACTGCTCCTAGTACTAGACTCCTTGTACTAGGATGGGTTAAAAGCAGAGGCCAAATTTCACTGTGTGCTCTGCATGTGTGACCATTAAAGAGGGTTTCATCCCTCCCTATTCTCTCTCTCTCATAGCATCTATTCAAGCTTTAAAAACATGTAGTGGAACCAAATGGCTCAGTTTCCATTCTTTTTGCAGACTGTTCCAAGTTAGAGGAGCTGCGCACCTAAACGCTTTCCTCCCTAAGACAGTCTCAGGCAATAGCTACTTTCAACTCTGTGTGATCAGAGAGCAGATGTAAGATGGTAGTTTACCCAACATGGCTTTGTAGATGAACATGTACCAGTGACTGAGCCGTACAGTAAGTGAAGGCAGACCTGCCCTGGCATACAGGGTACAGTGATGAGTTAGTGCTTTACAGTTAGTAACAAATCTTAGTGCACTGTGATACGCGGCATCTAACTTGATCAGGTAATGGGCAGGTGCATTCATATAGATCAAATCCATAGATCAAAAACAATAATGCGGGAATGTGAGAGCAGACAGGTGTCGGTGGTTGAATTGATCAACAATGTTGCAACCTTGCGGGGGAATGGCAGGGGCACATACACAAATGATATGATAATAATTTATCATATCATTTTAAATATTATTTGACCTAAAACTAAATGTTTTTATGAATGTGCTCTGAGGAGGACATGGGGATTTGCTAACTTTGTATTCCCTCCCATTTTACACAACACAAAATGGAGTCCACTATGGGCCAAAACTAACATGTAGGTTTCCGTAGTGTTTATGGCAGACGGATGCAGTGGGTCTCAGGAAGATATATATATAATAAAGGTGGGTTTGCTGCTGAGCCTATTTACTGTGCATACAACACACCTGGCACAGTTTATTGTTATTATAATAAACTGTTCCACAGGGCTCTATTTTGGGGCCCTTGCTCTTTTTATTATATGTAAACAATATTTGTAATCAGATGCAATTTTCTACCTATCATATGTATGCTGATGACACTATTGTATACTCATGTGCTCCTTCTCTGGATATGGCCGTTTCCAATTTAAAATCAGATGTCATCACGCTGCAGCATGCACTTCTTGATTCCAAACTGCTATTGAACAGTAAGAAAACCAAAGCAATGCTTTTTGCTCCCAAGTCAGCATCCTCTTGCCTCTCCATTGACACCCTTGATGGCGTCTCTGTTGAGTTTGTTGATACCTACAAATATCTGGGCTTTTGGTTGGACAGTAATCTGAACTTTAAACACCATATTGAAGTTCTAACTAAGAAATGTAAATTCACTCTTGGCTTCCTTTACAGACTTAAATGTTGTTTTTCAACTTCTTCCCGTAAAAGGTTGGTCTCTGGCTTATTCCTGTCCCAGCTGGACTACGGTGATACCATTTATAGATTTGCCTGTCCCACTGTTTGGGCCAAACTTGACCCACTCTACCATGCTGCACTGCGTTATATATCAAATGCACCCTATAGGACTCATCATTGCACACTGTATAGCCTAACTGGATGGTCCTCACTTACTATGCGTAGGATGCAGCACTGGTTTTTATTAATGTATAAAGCCATTTTAGGTAAGCTTCCACTCTACATATGTGCCAGATTTGCCCCAGTTTGTGACTCTTACAACCTCAGATCCAGTGCCTGGATACGGTTCCAGGTTCCTGCTGTGCGGACTGAGGCTGGAAAAAGGAGTCTTTTTTATTATGGTCCTTGGTCTTGGAATGACCTTCAATCAAGCCTTAAACTGAGGGCACTTGTCTCAATAGCATGCTTTAAATTGAAGTTGTCTGAAGTCCTCACCACCAGCTGCTCTTGCAGTAACAAGTAGTGTACCTTTCTTACTGTCCTAATGTGCACAATGTAGTGACTGCTTTTTCGTCTTTTGTTTTCTTAGTTATGTTCTCTGTATCTGTTTGTGTTATGTGTAACGTTGCTGCCTTCTTGGCCAGGTCAGCATTGAAAATGAGATTTTATCTCAATGTTTTTTATCTGGTTAAATAAAGGTTAAATAAAAACATTAAAAAAATTATATTGCCACTGTACCCTATTGTAATGTTGCCTGTCTTGACTGTGGTAAATAAAAGAGAGAACCAAAAGCACTGTACAAAAGATCAGCTTTAATGTCAAAATGTTTACAATGTACAATTTACACGCTGTTCAGATGCCTCATAAGGGCTGTGCGCATGTCTGGCCCCCCAGCCTCGGCAATGGCTGGCGCTGGCCCATCAAGCTGTGTCGCCGGTAAGGCAGTCCATTCCTCCCTGTACTCATCATCATTACTTTCACAAAGGTTATGTAATATGCAACATGCTGCCACCTGGATTTTGATCTTGTCAATCTTGCAGTCGTTTCTTTTCATCAAGCACCGCCACCTGCCCTTCAATCTGCCAAAAGCGCTCTCCATCACCACTCGTGCTCGGCTTGTTTTGTAATTGTACGCAAGTTGCTGGGGTGTGAGCCTTCCTTGGAAAGGTTTCATCAGCCATCTTTGCAGGGTGTAGGCTGAGTCACCAAGGATATAGTAACCCACATCATGTCCACCAATATTCCTTGTTACATGAGGAAGTAGACCACCCTTATCCACAAAACTACACAGTGATGACATGCTGAACACTCTGCTATCACAACACAGTCTCACGGCATTTCGTGTTATAGTCACGAAATTAATCTATTGATTCGTGTTCACCAACACGATTTTGCCATTTTTTTCGTGTCACACAGAACGATTTTAAAAGCAATGTAAATAATAACAAATTAGAAGGAAAAACAGATTAAAAAAAATACAGATTTCAGTTTTCTGACACAGAACGATTTTAGAAGCGATGTATTTATATTGGTAGTATGTTTCGTGCCTGCACCAAATAATAACAAATTAGAAGGAAAAAAAGATGACATAAAATACAGATTTCAGTATTCTGAGGCTCTGAGCCATTTCTTTTCCTCGCGGACGGCAAAAAAACTCAGACATTATACAATTTAAAATAAAAGGGATAGGGTTAGGCTTAGGGTAAGATATTGAGTAAGAACATGTTTTTATGAACCACACAGCTTCTGGTCTTCCAAGACCCGACCGGACAAAAAGACGTGTTGCAGGCACGAAACATACTACCAATAGAAATACATTGCATTTAAAATCGTTCTGTGTGACACGAAAAAAAGGTGAAAATCGTGTTGGTGAACACGAATCAATAGATTAAATTAATTTCGTGACTATTACACGAAATGCTGTGAGACTGGGTTGGCTATCATGCATGCTACCTGGTAAGCCAACAAAAACATTCCATAAGAGGCCCCTACCATCCACAACACCCTGCAGGACGAGCGAGTGCCAGCCTTTGCGGTTGAAATACTCGTTGTGGTATTCATCTGGTCTCAGAATGGGGATGTGTGATCCATCTACTGCACCTAC